GTGTGTGTGTGTGTGAAGAAGAAGAAGAAAGAGGAGTGAGTTAAGAAAAATGAAAGAGCAAAGCAGACTCTTCATTCCTGCTCGTCCAAACAGATCTCAGAGACTTAAATCCCCTCTCTGCTCTTGGCTGACACTGTTTTAAGTGCGAAGCTAGACTTGTAGCCTCAGACGTGTCAGCAAGCTGTGTGAAAAACAGGCCGTGGTTTCCGATATGCATTAGAATCAAACCACTCCACTAAATTAACCCTGGTGCTTCGGCTCAGTTCACGCAGAGGATCCAAATATCTCGGTGGGATCTGAGTAACCGTTAACGTTATACATCCACTGGATGTTGGAAGTTATTTATTCTGTGTTTTGAACAATGGCACTTGTGTGATGTTATATTGTGTTGAATTAAATGAACTAAATGTTCAGTCTCCTCGCTGGTTGTTCCGACACATAGTATTATAGTAGTATTTGTAACATTTCAACTGTTCCGCTTTATCTGTAGATGTTTAACAGATTATCTATAATTATATGTGCCTAACCAAATCTTAACAGTAGCGTAAAATCCGAAAACGGTTGTTGAATCTCAACTAATAAACTGTTGAAATGTTACAAATACTTTATTAATTATCTGTAGGTGGATTTGCCAAATAAAATGTCATCTTTTGATAATTGCTTAATTGTTTTTTTTAAGTAAAAAGACCAAAGATCGATTGGTTTCAGCTTCTCCAATGTGACGATTTGCAGCTTTTCTTTATATTGTTGTAAAGTGAATATCCTTGGGTTGAATAAAACATTTGAATTGCATTTTTTATTTTATATTATATTTTTTTTATTTATTATGTATTCCAACCTTCCATAGACCAAATGATTCATTGAAGAAATAATCAGCAGATTAATAAATAATGAAAATGTGTCTGGGTAATAGGACTGTCAAGCAGGTCATGTTCCTCTATCTCAAGATTGATCTTCATGTCAGCTACGGGCACAATTTATGATTATAGTCTTTATTGATTAAAGGACCCGTTTTGATGAAGAAATGA